TCTTGTATCATGACTGCTCAGTTTGGATTCGATGGTGTCGTTTCAAGTTACCGTGCCTATCGCTCCCCCTGGGTCGGCGTCCCCGCAACTCCCCCCGATGTATTCTCTTGTATTGAGAAAAGCAGCAACAAGACCAATGTTTATATGAGTTGGAACGGAGCCACTGAGCATCAACAGTGGAAGGTCTTTGGGGGTGCTACTCGTTTGGAACTGAGTCCGGTCGCCATGGCACGGAAGACAGGATTTGAGACCGTGGCGAGCATCAAAGGACATCTTGGGTATGTTCAAGTGGAAGCTCACGGCTTGGGGATCCAGAAAGGCGTTTCCAGAATTGTACCCGTGCAGAGTCAGTGCTAGGTTTCACATATGATTGCAATATCTTGTAATTTTAGTGATAATAGACAATGAAGAACGTGGACTGTACCAGTCTTTCTAGAGTACCATTTTCAGCTTTTATGAGAGAGCAAACTTCTACATACTAAAGAGGGGACCCTGCAATGGGGACAGGGGCACCGACAGCCCTGCCTGCGAAACAGGTGTGAGAGCAGAGTCGTCACTGGGAGTAGTAGTGTGCTAGAGAGGAGAACACCATGGGGTGACTACTGAGAAGAGAAGGTGGAAAGGTGTCTACGTCGCCTTAGGAGTGCTTTTGTTAGTCATCACATGACCGCTTGGTCATCCTATACTGCGGACTTGGATAGTGCTTACTGCAGGTGTGATCCTACTCGAGTACAAGCTCTCCTAATCATTTAGGCATTGTCTTGAGCGAGCCAAAATTTTTAAAAAAATAGATGATGTACTCTTCGGTTCTAGATGGTTGGTATTAATCACATGACACCCAACTAATTAGAAACATTACTACCTACCACTGCACTAACTTCGATCTGACCCCCATAAACTTCATCTGCCGACTTCACACTTCTCTATCAACAGCATATCAACTCAAATAACGCGGCCCCTGACCTGCTTAAGGTCCTTTATCTTGATATCTCTCCACATCCCAGCACATCCCCAGGCAACTACCAGCAGACAAACACTGGTCACCAGCATATATCGCTGCGCATCTCCATAGGCGTGAGCAATAGCATTCCGAGTTAAGCTTCCATACGGATACGACAGCTGGGCCGTGATATCGGAATAAACCGTTGCCATACTCACATCTGCCGGCAGGTATTTGGTAAGCGCCTTCGGGAATTGACTGGTCCAGATAGCAGCAGACACAGTTGATCCAATTGCACTGCCGATGCTACCGAATAGATTCAGCATAGCAAGGATAACAGCAATATGCTGGTGATCGGAAGGCGCCATCATAGCAAGCTCGCCGCAGATAACAGTGGTTCCACCAGCCACGGCAACGAAGATTTGCGTCATGCAAATATACCCAATATCCGCATCGGGCTGACGGAATTTGATCATCAGCCCAACGCCCAGTATCATAAGCGGGAAGGAGAAGTAAACGGCCAGCCATTTGAAGCGACCAGTCCAGCGGATGAGGAAGCCGACGAGGAGACAAAAGAGGCAGGAGCCGACTCTGTAAATGGCTGAGACATAACTGGCTTCTGTGACATCCAGACCCCAAACAACCTGGAGCATTGATGTGAAATAACTACCCCAGACCATTGAGTTGAAAAACTCAAAGACGAACATTAACCCTCCGAAGAAGACGGTTCGGTCCATCAGTAGCTTGAATGGGATGAAGGTCACTGGAGCCCAGAATCGCTCGTAGACGGCGAACAAGATGAGCAAAAGGCCTCCAAAAATGATCATGCAAATAATCATCGCCGATCGCCATTGATCCTTTTGGTAGGACCAGAGACTGAACGGAAGAAGGAACAAGGCCATTCCTCCCGCCAGAAGAATGATTCCAATCAAGTCGACATCTATGCAGTATTTTTTCACTGAAGCGAAGGTGATAGGGCCATGGCTGGACGCGAGCAAGCCCATCTTCTTAGCCTTTCGCTGATTCCAGAAGAACAGAAGACACAGAGGTGCCACCACGGCCGGAACGATGATAGTGAAGATTCCGAATCCCCATCGCCAGCCGGGGCCTTCGAGGACACTCTGGGAGATTGGGCCTCCGATCCAAGTGGTGATGATGTATGGCGAAGTTGCGAACGATAACATGAGGGCTCGATTCTTCAGTGCAGAGGTATCTGAGATGAAAACTGTCAAACAATAGCTGACTCCTTGGGATCTAGAATTTGTCGCAGTTAACTAGGCTGTTCGAAAGACAGAACTTTTCCAAATGGATATCATAATTCATACCCCACGGATGAGAAAACCTGCGCAGCCGCGTATGTCTCAACGTTGTTGCAGCCCGCCATCATGATGAATCCCACAACCCAAATGATCAGCATCAAACTCATGCCCTGAGGCCGACCCCACGAGTCCAAAATCTTTGCCAAGGGAATTTTACTCAAGCCTCCAATGATATTGGCCATGATACTCGTGGCAGCCGTCAAAGAATGGAGCATGAAGGCACTGGTCACGTATGGGTTCAGAGAACGGATGACAACCTCCTGGATGGAGGTAACAAAATAGATAAACCATATGCTTCACACGTAAGAGTCAGTGATTTGAATGAATATAAACGTTGGATCACGAAGAGATTCTCACATCACATATGCCAAGATCATATGAGACTTAGTCCACACGGCCGCAGTGGCCTGAACACCTTTCACACCAGCCTGAGCCTCTTGATCAATAGAGTCCTGGTCGGGGCTGCCATGATCCTCAGCGGTATCTTTCGGTGTGTGGGCTGTCTCTGGCTCTTTCTCGGAGGGATAGAGGACTTCAGAGCCCATCTCGTGAGCGATCTCCGTTTCTTTCGATGCCATGGCGAAAGACTCTATGGTTCGAATACGAAACTGGCTAAAAATCGCCGATCAGTGGTATATATATACCCTGGTATATCAGACATGCATTATCCGATATCGGTAACAGGGAAGAATCTGCACCAATGAGTATGTTGACTCAAGGAAAGTGTCCGGTAAGTAATAATTTCCATTGCCGCTAGGGAGATTAGTTGACGCCGAGCCCCTTGGCGCGCCTAAGCGTCGAGAAGATGGATCCATAGCCATCCCTGTAGGCTTCCTCCGCCCAATAAATTATGTCCTCGTGCTCGAGTGTTCTGATGCCACTCCGGGACGTTTCGATCAGCCCATCCTAGACTAGTTTTTTCTTGCCTCTTGCCCCATTCAGAAGACATTTCCGGTCAACCCGTTCTCGAGGGTGGCGCTTTTCTTCCTCGTCGTTGTGCTGTCTATGGTCTTAGTGGTATTTTTCGTTTTGCGGTATTAGAAAAAATGAACTTAAATTACACACGCGTATTTGAGCTTTACGGCGTTTTCCGTAGTACTTTGCCCTATCTCTCCATTAAACCATTTCGCGTGTTGCACTTCATGTGAATATCTCTAGAGTAAACTTCTTTTCTTGTCGGATGTTGATTTCCTATTTGAGCTGGCGTCCCTTTCACATCCCCGAAGCCGCAGCCTGGGTTCAGCACTTCTCAACATATCAATATCAAGCTGAAAAGAGACTCGCTAGTGTATGGGAGGAGTCATTGCATGCCCTAGTAGAAACTCAGTCCAAGGATGCTTTGAGTAACGAGCCTGAACTGCCGAGGAGTGTGCCTAGGCTAACAATATTTCGTTTGATGAGTTGCTGATTCTCCACAAGTGTCTCACTTTTGCTAAAGTCCCGAGTATTATAATGATTTTGTGTTCCTTTTCCTCAGTAAAACCGGAGTTCATATCCTGTAATGAACTCTACCAATACATGCTTCCCATATACATACTCCAAACACTAGAATACTAGATGCCTCTAGCTTCCGATGCATTCTAGTTTTACGAAAACGAGCCCAGGAACGAGGGTCGAACAAGGCCTTTATCTGTTATCTGCACAGATAAAACTCACTCAAATTTAGTGGTGTCTGTCTTGAATTCCAATACTACACTCCGAGGACTTCCCCAAGAACTACTCACCCATGCAGTAGTGAATATTGCCATTGTGCATTGTATATTGAAGAGGGTTATTTGCAAAGTCGTGGTTGTGATTCCCACAGTAGGCTTAACCTGTGGCTCGATCTTTGAAACAAATCCATCTAAGAATCCAGTATTCTTGTCATGCAGCCTTACTTTGTCTGCAACTGAAGGATATAGTTCCAGAGGAATCTATAGTCAATATCCAAAAGGAAAGCCTATACGATGCCAGATTTCGCCGCCAGCGTAGAATCATACGACCGAAAGCGTCGAAAGCCTTTCGAATCCGATCCTTTTAAAACGTAACCAGCAAGAAAATCGTGATAATCCTTGCCATCAGCGGGGTGGAGATAGCCGAAAAAAGGGTCTAACATATTGCGCATACCAAGATAGCTAGTCACAAACGATAACGACATAAACACCAGAGTCACGATGGTGAAGACAGGGATGGCTTTTTCCTTAGTCTTTCTATCGCACGTCTACTCCGCTGCGCGTCAGGTTGGCCCCGAGTCAGAACTTGCGTAAGTTTGTCGCCTCTTATGACAAGCCTTCACGATATGTGCGCCGGTCATGAGTCATGACTGTCATCAGCAGGTCCTGAAAGGCATCAATCAAACTCTCTATTAGCTGACACCCCATGCTGGGTCTGAGCTGCCCGTTTCCAAACTTGTCATTTAGCTCCTAATTATCATAGCATGGGGCAAAGTGCCTTTTTAGGTTAGTCGAGTAGACTGATGCTTCGGGACGGTCTCTAAGTAGTAATCGGTAAACGTTCACTGAGCGTTCACTGAACCTCGCTAACCTTTGCACTCTATAATTCTCTTCTATGATCAGCCCTATACATACGACCATAGGGTGTGGAAAACAGGGCTTCCCGTCCGCTCAGCCGTACTTAAGCCACACGCCGGTGAGTTAGTAGTTGGGTGGGTGACCACCAGCGAATCCTCCCTGTTGTATGTTTTTGTTTTTATTATTTGTTCAGTACGGAGTATAGCAATAGTATGTTTATCTTAGGCCCCGTTATGGACCTCTATGAATAACTTTTTTTTGGAAATAAAGCTTAACGAGACATGAGAGCAGAAGGTAGGTAGGCTCAAGGGTGGAGGAAAAGTAGAAACTGATATAAGAGCACTTGATGTATCTATCTGACGCTATGACCATCAAGGGGCAGAGGTCACCTGACCTAATAGTATAGGTAGTACACGATCCGTCTAGGTTAGGCTTTGGGGCAAAATCAGGGAGTATTCCGGACGAGCAACAGACATGCTGCCCTGGTTTGAGGGTTGAACAGAAGTTGGTTCCGGAGTTATACTTGGTAAAGTCTGCAGCGGAGATTCCATACTTTGTGGCCAGAGCAGCGCAGCTATCACCCCCTTCGACTTGCTTAGTGCTGCATTCAGCCCGAGTTACGAGATTTTCTTTTAGCAAGGGCGTAGGGATGGTGGCTTGTGAGGCGCTCGGACGGACCGACTTCGATTGAGTGGAGTTAATCGAAGTCTTCAATGGAGGAGTGGTAAGAACGGCCGGACCGGTGATATTCTTCATGCTATCGAAGGAGAGGCAACCCCCCTTCGACCAAATTTTCATTGCATCCTGCACGGGTGAAAAGGTTCCATTGCTGGAGGCAAATATTCCGAAGGTGTGGGCATTGTTGCTGTTCGGATCGCATAGCTGCATTGCCACGTTACCGGAGACAATTTTCAGAGTGCGAATATTGTCTGTCAGCGCCTTTAGGGCAAAGGAGCTGACCCCCTCGCTCTGCAGACCCTTGCCTATGTAAATCCCAACAGCAGCCGAACCTGACCGGGCAAACAAGAAGGTGTTGCTCTTGGTTCTCTTGGTAGCAACATGTTGACTCTTCAGGTAATGCCGCATCTGCTTAGAAATGGAGGCTATATCTGCACCAGCGAGCAGGCCGTTACCCCACCAGCCAAGAGAATAAGTCGAGTCCGCAGACTCGATAGTAGTCGCGAAGTTCGCAATTGGCCGTTGGAGGGCTGACCAGTCGGCGCCATAAGAGGTGCAGACATAGAGGCGATGGAGGGTGTCCGGGTCATCCACTCGATCGTACAAAGAAAAATCATAGAACAGGGCTTGATGGCAGGATTGGAGCTGTTCAAAGTTGTGATAAACAGACCAATTGGAAGGATTGGGTCCTGCGATGCTACAAGCCACAGGACATGCGTCTCTACCACGATAGCCAGGACTGGCAGGCTGTCTCAATCCTGGCTTTCCTCGTGCAGAAACAACATCAATAGAGAGCAGAAATATTACCCCCAGAGCTGAGATGAGCCAAGAGCGAGTCATCGTGCTCTATGAGTAGACAAAGAAAATTCAAAGAATGTGACTAGAATGGTAAAAGAATGACAATAGAAACGAATGACTAGAGGCTTGTTCTCCCATCCTCCAGGGCTTTTCGCGGCTTTTGTACTTTTTCTGACGAATACTTTCAGAGTGCTAATGGTACTTCTGTCAATATGAGGAGCCTTGGACATTTATATTACGCTATAACTTTGAGTGAGCGTATTTTACCAACATCAACAATATACCAAAGTCTTGGATTTCCTATTGCAGGAACCCCGTCCCGAATACGCGCCTAGGATATGGCTAACAGTCTAAGGTTGGTGGAAATTGCAAGCAGGGCTTCACTTCTTTGCTAACCGGAGCCGAGTGAGACAGACAGAGGGACAAGATGCCAAGAGTTAGCGCGGAAACGAGGGCTTGGCTGTGCGTCTACAATGCAACAGTCCCTGGTAGGAAGGCCACTACCAGTCCATCTATCTCGTAATAGTCCGATTCAGGGGCTCAGACAACAAAACAACTCATTTTCGCCGTTTCCATATTCTGGTCCTCTATCAACTTGTTCCCTCCTTCATTACTGTTGAAGGTAGTGAGATTCTCAGTACTATAATGTATTTCTTTCTGGGTTGCCTTCTTCTGGCCCTATCGCAAGTCCTCGCCTGCAGTTGGGCGATTAATACCCGAGGGATCATGGAAGTAGATTTGATTCTTCCGCGCAACGATACCTATCCCCCCTCGCCTATGCTGCCGATTATATTCGCCATCCAAAATCCGAGCCTCCTCAAAAGCTTCAATCTAATACTTGAATGGAGTATTGAGCAGGAGAACTTTAGTACTAGCGATGGAAGTCCCGCTAAGAGAATCAATGCCGGCGGTTCTATTCGACTGTGGAACTTCAATGATTCCAGTAGCAACCCTTACTTCCTCTATTGGAGTAACTCGCGGTTCGATGTTGAAGGAACCTTCGCATTCCCACTCAACAATAGGTCTCGACCTCCTTTTCTCTCCTTTCAGCATCATGCATACCTAACTCGGCAGAGGCGTTCGATAGCGTCGGATGAACCTAATATTAAATACTCCATAGTTACGGAGTGCACTCTTAACGTATTAGCCTATGGACTGAAACAAGCAACCCATGCCAAGACTTCCATTTCATCCGGATCGCGGACGTCCGCGCCGCCAAGCGCCAAGTTTCACAATTCCCAGCACAAGAGCTAATGCAGGATTCAATGCCGATCCACGCCAATCATCACATGGTAGAGAATCTCAATGTTAACCTTGGAAACAGTTTATTATTAAATCATCCTATCGATAACTAACGCCGATCATTCGTCGTCTTCCGCGTCCTGGAACGGGGTAAAATTCTATTCAGCTGTCCCCTCATTCTCTCCCTTTCATTGCAAGGAATGCCCAATTCCTATATCTATCCCTTTACATTTTTACCTTCATCCTACTGATAATCTCATCTGCTTGTATGTTCATGGAATGACTGAAATTGAACTCTCCCAGCGAGATGCCCGGGAGGAGTCCCCGCTTACCTCTAACGGAGAGGGGTCTTCTGCGCCCGTGAAGGCAGCGCAGGCTCCGAAGGCCGGCAGAAAGCTGCCAGAATGGCTTGATCACTTCAATACCCGCGATATTAAGGTGCTGTTCCGTTGCACGCTGGCTGCATAGGTCGCGTTACTGCTGATCCTCATCACTCCGTCCGTAAGCGTCATCGGTACTGCGACTTTCTTTGTAACGTAAGTGTATCTATATTTCCTCTTCGTATCAGTTGCTAATCCTATCGCGATTAGTCTAGTGCTCTTTATGGTACCTCCGACCGGTATTATTTTCATTTTCCTTCTAGGAATACTAACCGTTATCATTAGTATGGCTTTGGGCTGGGCCTAGGCTATTATCGCCATAAAGGCTGCGATATCAGCGAGACCAGCGGCCGAGACCCAGGCCAAGCTTCAAGCCCTAGGACAGGCCGCATACAGCCAGGCCAATTCCACCGGACAGGCCGTGGCAGATGTCTAGAAGGAGCTCGTCTATAGCGGCTGGATGCTTGACGCTCGTATAACAGCTGTCTATTATTGCCTAATCTATTTGTTCATTTATTTAATTGTGAGAAACTTCTTGACCCGAGCCTAATGATCGAGACACTGACCCTTTTGCGCAGTCCCGTCTTCGGGCTAAGAACCCCAAACTCATTCTGCTACAGATTTTCGGAATCATCATCATCGATATCTCGTACTTGATATCTATTATAATATTGATGGTTCAATCTACCTATATTAGGTACACATTCTTATTATGACTAAAAAAGGTACCAGTAGCGAGTAATTCTCTTAATATGTTTATCTCAATAAAAACGCATCCTCTGCTCAAAGTGCATGCGGCATTGATAACACAGTGTGGTTAAAAAATATCTTAGCAGCGTAGCAGGTCAGCTAGTATGAGGAGAAAACTGGCGCATACAACTTGACGACGTCATTTGTCGTCGACTCGGGGCCCAAAACCCAGTCGGTATATTCGCGGCACTGGTTTGCTGCGGAAGCCGTTCCAGCAAACCCTGTGTCCTGATATTTGGCTTTTTTGTTGTAACGTCCCGACTCGTCATTCGTCTGGTCATCTAGCTGGTGCTTCTTACTTGTCTGGACTTGTGGCCGATACACATCACGCAGAGAGACTTGTTCAGATGAAAGGCGGTCGTCACTGAAGTATAGCTGCCGTAGTTCTTCAAGCTTGTGACGAGTACCGGCATCGACGATGATAAAGAAACGCGGGCTTGCAAGGGCGGCAAACGTACGACGAATAGACGCAAGGGGGGCACCGTGCCATTCTTTTGGAGTTGAGAAGGTTTTTTCAATCCCTGGGATTTGACCGTTGTGGAGGAATTGTTTTAAGAATACCCGGTTGTATCGGCCTCCGATGGCGGTGGGCGATATTTGGTTTGAGTCAATTTCATGTTGCTTGTAGTCTGCACTTGTCGGTACCTGCCGCGAAAGGGCTGAGATAGGGAGTGCAGTATCTGCTGCGATCTGCTCTCGGCGAGCACGATCCCGGAGTTCAAAATCAATGAAGTACTGGATATCTGTTGGGAAAAAAACGTATCCAGGGTCAAGTGACATATCGAACTCGGTATGGCAAGATCCGCAGAGAGGAATTGCGTTTTGGGTGTTTTTGTAGTTGAAGATAAACAGTCCAGCTTGCTCCCATACAGGAATCTGAATAATGCGGGGCTTGTTAGCTTAGGGCTCGAAAATATAGGGTATTCTGGAAGCACCTGGGGGTCATGATGGGGCACGACATGACAAATTTCCGGTGCTCTTGTCGAGCACGCCCAACATGTAGTACCAGCAATTCGTAATGTTTCTGCCTTAGTTGCCGCGGAGAATAAACCAGATGATGCAATGCTGGACCCTGATGAAGAAGCTGTCATGGTATGAGCAGCCGATGAATGGCGAGAGGACGGTGGAAGTGGAGGAGGTGGCATTCGGTTGCGATCTGTTGCGTGGTCAGTCATATTGGGCATGGATGTATTGGGGTGAAGACTTACATCAACCCAACAAGAAATCGGTAGCTCCCAGACTGACCGGCTGGAGTTGGGGAAGGTGTGTTTCATGGAGAAGGCACGCAGGGACGAGATACTTTGGGTGGACCCATGGTTCACTTGGCCTCCTACTATCACGTAGGAAATGCCAGCGTGATAATCAATGGAATTCAGGGGTTGAGCAGGGCCAAGGACTTGAGAAAGGAGGTGGGAGGGGTTGCAAAAGAGTGTGATAGGACCATGTGATGAAGGAGCAGGGCAACTGTCTTTCAAAAAGAGGGGAAAGCAGGAAAAGATAGAAATGGAGAGGTGACTATATAGCCAAGCACACTGCGTCATGTGGCTGCACACCACGTGACACACATGTTTGAATATGTCCGTATCACGTGATTGTACAGCCAATCGAAGGGTCGAGGTACGGTCAACATATGGTCAACCTTGGGTACACTGCGGGTACATTGTCCAACTACGAGGATTGGCACCGAGTAATATTCTCCTGCTGTTCACCAACCCGCATCGTAGCCTTTATGGCTAGAAGCTCTTCGATTCGCCGATCATGGTCGCGGTCCTGGATATCTCGTAAGGACGCTGCCAAAGAGAGGCCTGCCTAGCTGCATAGGAGTACCCAACGCCCAAATGCATCAGATTCTCACCCATATAAAGATCCTTCCAACAGGGAGTGTCATGTCCCCTAAGCCTACGATGAACTTCTCCAGCCGTCTTCCAACCGAAGAAGCCAGCCACAAAGTGCCACCAATTCATCGACTCCAGTTATTTAAATGTTGACATAGACCATTACAGGGATATATTCCTCATCCGTATTGGTGACTGCTCTCTTAAATTCAAGTAAGACGGTGTGTTAAAGTGTCTTACAAATTTAAAGAATGTGACAGAGATATGCTCTAATTCAACATATATGTAATTCTCTAACTAACTACAATTTGAGTAATAACAACATCCACTTTGCAGGATTTGTAATGAGGCTGCCGGGCTTTTTACCCGGTCTCAACCACGTCCACCATGGAGTTCGACAGAATGTGCTATCAACCCTTTGAAACAGCTTTGGTTCCAAAACAGATAGGATCCCGCGGTAGTCCAACTATGGATCTGCGGAATATCACCGTTTCTTACTTTGGATAACATTCTCACATCGAAGAATGTATGATGAATTACGAGGAACCGAGACCAATTCCAAAATCGGAGCCAACAGTTATTTCAAGTATTCCGAGACTTTCTCGGAACGATTGTAATTCTTAAGAGGCCATTGTCTGTTCTCTCACTTTCAATCAGGTGCTCCGGGGAAGTTAGTCACCCTCTTTCGTCAGAGTTGTAATACTCTTGCTGCTTCCGAGCATATCATCTCATGTACTGGATAGAAGCAATGAGCATTATGGGCCTTGTACTTGAAATTGCGGCGACAATTAACATGTTACAGGCAGCTCTAGATGTGAGTCGATATATATATTTCCGACTGATCCCTTGTAAATATCTCGCTCTCATTGCCCGAAATGAAGAGGTGTCTTTGTAGCATCTGTCAAGTGCTATCTCTGATTACAGCTGGGTCCCATTCATGGAGCTGCTGTCCCAAAGCTCACATCACATGAGCAACGTTGGGCACACATATATATATAGGTCCATCTTCATTAACAGTTGGTATGATAGTTTAGTATTTTAAGCCATACCAACTTATTTACCCTATTATCTACATTTACTATCCACATATTCCAGATGGCATCGAAATGTCCTCTTTGTCGTGAAAGGGTTAAGACGAGCAGTGCTCCCCATCTTTGCCCAGTCGAGAAAATGCCGAACGCCGAACACAAGCTTCCATCAATGTTGGTGGTCAAGCAACAGCAAGACGTTGTCGTTTGTCATGCTGTCTCGATCTGAACTGTTAGACTATGTGAGTTGATACCCGCGGGAAATGACATTGTGACCCTCATTAATGCTTCAAAATCCCAGATTCTCAACAGCTTGGTAATGCAACTAGAATATGTCACGCCCGAACAGAGAAAAAGGAGAGCTTGCGAGTTAGCAGGGAGTGAACTTATCATTTTAACATTTTAGCCTTTTGGTGTCCTTGAGCCCTGTTATTGTCATTAGTTGGAGGACGAAGACCCGTGGACTGCCTGTCTGAGCAGAACTATTTAGTCTGAAAATAGTACATAAGCAAGACAGTTTCATCACCTACTAAACTTGGTTGTTGAAATAATTAATTATATCACATAGTTAATTTAAGATAGTACTTATACCACTACAAGTGGATATATTCCAATCTGTCACGGATAACCCAGTGGAAGGCTCACCGCCATGCCAATTACCCTGCTTCGGCCGCCAAGGCCAGCGGGAAAGGTGCCTGGTACGAATCCCGGGGTTGGCATTTTCACTCGTGCGAGTAATCCACGACGCTGGAGGCCACTAAGCAATGGAAATGACACTTGAGGGAAGCAATTCTGCAGAGACATTTCCACCCCGGGATGGCGTCGCCAGATGACACCGTCCTGTTACAGGCAAATTGGCAATTTGGTGGGACGACTACTATTTTTTTTTCTCTTTTTCTTTTTATACATGTATTCTAGGCCTACTCAGTAGTAATTATTGCCATGCCTCTTACAGCTTCATTCTGGGAGATAAATTGAGAAACAAGTTAAACACGCTAATAATAGCATGGTAAAAATGTACAAGAACGTGAGAAATAAACATGAAAAGAAACGATGAGTGTTCATAAGACAAGAAAAGAAACAAAATACCCAAACCAGTCCATCAAGGTGTCCCCATATGAGTCTCGTGCGATGCATGAACCGAAGTATTCTGCGTCTGCTCCAAGACCACAGCATAGAATTTGCCTTCTTCTGAGATATCACGGTAGGGACCTGCAGAGACAACGGCCCTGAAACAATACCAATTAGCATATGACTTCACATTCTGATATCAGAAAACGCCCTCAAAAAGAGTGACAAAGAAAATAGAAAATAAAAACATACCATCCCTTATACTTCGGCTGATTGAAGATATCCGTAAACACCCTCAGCACTCGCAACGGCAACTCCAGCACAGAAGGCATCTCAGGCCCATCGCCACAAATGGGTAACCCCAGCTTGTTGACGGGGAGGTAGATGGTCTCTGCGAGGTTTTGCGGATTGCGCGTCTCCTGGAAGATGAGAAGGCGGCGCGAGGCGTGCGACGGCGGTCCGCCTGCTGGCGGTCTGGCGTTTGCGCTTGCGCTCATGCTCATCGCGAAGGCTTTTTGAGTGTGTAGAGTACGCAATAGGTTTTTGCGGAGGTCTATGTTGGATTTTCTTTTTCTTGGACTTGGGGTTTGGAAGGATGGATTGTTCAGTTTGGCTGTTCCTTTTTTTTTTTTGGTGTTGTCTTTTACCCGCTTGGACTTTTCTGCTGGGTCTCTGGCTTCGATGCTTAGAGGAAGCGCGTTTGCTTTCTGGGGTTATTAGTACGGTGTCTTGCATGTAGTTCACCAAGGGCTTCTTACTATTTGTCGACAGTGGCGTGTAGAGGGCGCGACAGGCTTTGCTTATCGTTTGGCGATCAGTGTCCCGATTAGGAGATCGCGGGGCAAAAAGGGGGGAATTTCAGAGATGGTTGTATGTGGAAGATGAAGAAAGATGGAAGTCGAATGTCGACTGTTGGTTTTAAGGAGAAGAAAAATAAGCCCAACAGAAGAGGGGGACTTAATGGGCGATATTATGATTGTTGTACCTACTGAACTAATAATCTCATACACAACATCATTGATCATGACATTAATTAGATTATTCCTATATTCTAGAGTCTAGTCTCTAGATGACCTAGGCACAATAAAATCAACAGCTAACAGAGAAAGAAAAAGAAAACGCTGGGTATCATGATAATGTGGCCGAAGAGAAACAAGCAAAATCAACAAAAGAAAGTCAATCCCTTAAATCAGGGATGAATCATGGTATATGGCATCATTCACTATGCAGCGAGATGAGAAGCGATATGATCAAATCAAGCATCAAGCTCTCCCTCTAGCACTCTGCGTGCAGCATCCAGACGACGCCGCAGCACCCGCGCAGCCTTTTCATCGGGGTCCGCAGAGCTCGTGATTGCCTGCAGATCCATACAGACTTTACCAAGGCTGGCGAACAGTGCTTCCAGCATCTGTGTGTCATCATCGTTGATGCCACCGACACTGGGGGTGCTGGATGCCGCGCGCACAGTCGAGACGAGGGACGAGACAAGAGAGGTTGGGGTTGCAGAACCGGCCGTAGCTGAGGATGAGCGGCCAGTATGTTTCTGAGGGGAAAGGTTGTTTGGATCCAGTGAATTGGTGTGGTGCCGTGGTCCACGGGGTGTTTCGGAGCGGTCATTCTCAGCCTCGATCTCTTGGATTGGACTTGGCTGGTAGCTGTGGTGAGTATGAGATTGGGAATGGCTATGGCTATGTCCGTGTCGCAGCTCTGTCCAGGGATTAGTGTCGGAAACGTCAGGGGAAAAAGATCGCGGGAACGCACCATGGTTGAACCGTCGGTCCCAGTACATCACGCTGTCAACGTCATCCTCGTCATCGGGACGCTCGCCTTCGTTTGCGGTCGCGAAGGTTGCCACGGTCGAGACGGACATGTTGCTGTTGTTACGGGAGTGCCGCTTTGTGTATGCGGGCCGGGTTGTCTCGGCTGATCCGTTCGAGCTGTTGCTTACTCGGCGGAGTTGCTGGGTGTAGTTGCCCAGTGCGCTATGCAAGATGAAATGCTCATAGTCGAAAGCATCCTCGCGCAGCTCGTGGGGCGTCGCGTCCGTGTGCGACGGCACGTTAGGGAAGGCTTCCATGTCACTTTCGAGGTCATCATCAAGCGGTTCGCGTAAGATCTCATCCAGAGCTTCGCGGTCAATTTCCTCATTAAAATCACCTTCTTCGGCATCTTCGTACATGGTCTCGGCGATAGATTGGTCATCGCCATAGTCAGGCTCATTGCCCTGCCAATTCTCGGCGTGCTTGGATGCATTTCCAGCAGCGTGCTCGGCGGATCTGCGTCGATCTTCCGCCGCTATCTCATTCGAGACACCCCGAGTGTTTTCAGAGCTGGCTTCACGTCGGGGATTGGAGCCACGACTGCTCTGGCCATCTCTGAGCTCCAGCGCATTCGCATACCAGTGATCGGCGGCCGTCAAGGGGCTGGGCGTTCGTAGGCTTTGCAAACTACGCCGGCGAAGATTATCCTCCTGATTCTTCACCTTCAGCGAAGAGATTTTGATGTGAAGCCCCTTCATCTGATACTGGAGATCCCGCACCTGTAGTTGCGACTGCGCGCGGCTAGGGGGACCAAAGGAGCTGTAGACTGGACTGAAACCATCTGGGCTCGATTTCGATTCCTCCTCCGAGGAAATGCCCAAGCCATGTGGCGAGCCCGACGAACTGTCTTCGGTGAAAGCAGGCGATTGCGCCCCTTGGCCCTCTTTCTCCTCTTGCACATGTATCGGAGGCTGGGCAGAAGAAATCGATGATCGATGCGTCAGATACGCCCTCGTAGGTGCATAGGGGAACGACCGATCATCAGTATGAAGACTGGACGAAGTGCTCGCGCCCATTGCACTGACAGAGCGCGAAACTTGCTTGTCATCGTTCGAGAAGCTCGAATCCGACGGAACAATCGTCTCAGACTGCCCCCTTGAATGACGATTATTCGTCGTATCCTGCGAAGTAATAAACGACTGCCGTCGAAGCGAAAAGCTCTTAGGATCCGTGCGCGAAATCGACCGATATAGTACACCCACAGGCTGGTGCAAACCCATCGGCTGGATATAGCCCGAATTCGAGGGCGAGGGCGATGAGGGCGATGAGGTCGTGCGCGGCGTCGTCGACCGAGCTCGAGTGAGATTGTTCTCCATAAGCTGTGGATTCAAAGGATGTTAGTATTACTCCCTAGACAAGCGACAAGCTGCGGCGCGTAAGGAAAGAAACCAACATACATTCAAGCGTTTCTTCGCATTCTCCAAAATCCTCTCCGCCTCGCTACTCAGTATCGCCGAGGAAAACTCCTCCCCGGGCCCCTTGCCCTCTGCAGCTGCAGACGCCACCGCGCTACTAGCAGGCACGGAAGAGCCCCCTGCAGTGCCAATGACCGCGGTAGCTTGCGCTCTCGCGACCTCGGGGTGAACGGGAGATTCGTCGCGTCCGTTTTGCGCCTCGGACACATCCCTGGAAGCGGAAGCGCGTCTGCTCCCCGCACTGATTGTGGAATTGGAGCTACTCCACTCCCTGTTTGGATCATCCTGCCCACGTAATAGCGGTGAGCTGGCCAGCTCTTGCTCGTCCGAGTCGCCGAATCCCTCCAATCTGGCGGGCGAGAGTTCCTCGCCGATATCCGAGAGACGGCGACTGACATTCACGTCTTCGTGTGTCCATGCATGACGGGAAAAATTTTTCTTCTGTCGACTGGATGCCGACATGGAGGCATTGGGATCCGATTGGTTGCGGGAGTTGAAGTACGCGATTTGGGGTGGGGAAGGAGTTTGGGATTCGCGTTCGACTTCGTATGGTAGGATCATGTCCGGGTCTGTTAGAGTGAGTGAGGGCATGATTTCGCTCTCTCAGGCCCTGGGGCCTGGGGGGGTTTTCCGTGCAGAATTGGTAGAAAGAGAGAGAAAAAGGGTTGAAGTCGCAGAATCGTCCCGTAGACGGGTTGGGTACCGTTACAGTTAGTTTCTCCCCTTAGACAGTTTAGCGTGCCCTGATCATTGCCTTATTGGGATCTGTGAAGATATTCCCAATTTCCTGTCTCATACTCTCCGTCCGGAGTAAAAGATAGGGGATTAGGCTTCGACTACCCTTGCAATTGTCAATCGTGGTAGTTTAAGTAGTATTAGGTATGAAATAGTTAGCGGATGATAGATCAGATCAATATTAGACTAAATACGGAGTACGGAGGACACCGCGAGAACAATAGGCTTTCTCGGGTTATAATAATAAGATTACGTAGAGAAATGTCTATGCTTTAGTCTCTTTCTTTAATTAGGATTGTCTCCGACTGTTCGAGCCATACGGTGTAGTCAAAGAGACATGGCCTTGAAATGTGATGTATACCTATGCATACTCCGTATAGGATGCATTATTGCTGTAAGGATATGACCCAGGCATTTTCTATAATTTTTAATTGATTGCACTATATACTCACAATCAGCTGAATATCTCCAAGGGTCCTTTGTTATGGTTAAAATAACAATGGAGGAACCCCTGAGATCGGCCAGCCATATGCCCAGGTGAGTCTAAGTTCCACACCGGTGGAGATTGTAATTTCAGGGACATCTCAACGTTCATTAGAGGAAAAAAGATATAAACGTTGAGAAAAAAAAAGAGAAAAAGAAAGAAAAAAAGTATGCTTTTTGTATACAACGTAATTACACATGCCATAATCCCGTAGAAACGCTTATATCTAGATCTTCGAAAGCAACAACTTCGCACCACTGCTACTCGGGCTGGGCTTCTTCTTTCCATCCTTCTCCACGACTAACGCCGAGGCCTGCTCCAGCGCCTTCTTGTTCTTCTTCAGAGTCTTGAGCAGCTCGCTTTTCTTCTCAAAGTCCTCCGACTCAGCCAGCGCGACAATAACGAAGGGGTTAGCCCCCGTCGCCCAGTCCAGGACCTCATCCTGGATCTGCGCGTACAGCACATCGTGGAAGTTCAACGCAGGCTCCACTTTCTCGATAGACTTCGAGGCCGGGTTGAATCGTCCACCCTGCACAAGAGATTTGAGAAGACGTCCCGCGTGTGCGGTATCGCGGGCTTCGGTGTGCGACTTGGCGGCCTCGGCCACGGCCGCGAGAGCGGCGGTCTTGTCGCCGTCGGCTTCAAACAGCACCTCGGAGAGGAACTGGCAGCCGAAGGTCGTCTCGAGGAGGGTAGAGGCGCGGGCAGCGATGAATTCGAGCAGTGTTGGCGAGGCGGCCTTGACGAGTTCCTGGCGGCGCATGGCCGGGTCTTTCTTCGAGGTTTCCTTGCGGACCTCGCGGACTTCTTCAAGGACCGTTTGGTCGGCCTCGGGGAGAAGCCACTTGACGCGCTCACCGGCGAAGGGGTATAGCACAGCGATACGTGCGGTCAAGTCGTTGACCTGGTAGCAGAGTTCCTCGTTGCGGGCCTCTTCGGTTTCATTCTGGTTCAAAAGCTCGGGGAAGAAGGACTTGGCGCTGAGTTTTGTGTCATCAATGACCTCGTACGCGGCAAGAATAACCTGGTGACCGTAGACGTCGCCAGCCATGGCCTTGACGATGTCGCGGAAGAATCGTATAAGCAGCTTGCGGTCTTTAGCGTTGGAGTATGCGAGCATAAGACACATCAAGCGGGAGCCGGACTGGGTGAAAGCCAAGTTCTTGATCAAGTCACCCTCTTCGTCACCCTTGATCAGCTCGATAAACTCATTCGCTTCGTTGCTGCCGGGTTTTGTGCAGAGAAAATATTGCAACATAGCATCGTGAAGCATGGTGAAACCAGTGCTCTTCTTCTGCACCAGCTGGTTAATCAGCTCGCGCAAGTAGTTCATGATCGGTCCACGCTTCTCGGGGTGGGCTTCGATGATCTTCGCGAGATCGGAAGTGGTTTCATTCTCATCTTGGAAAATGACAAACTCGGGACCGTACCACTCGCGGAGGAGTCTGGCCTTCTGTGCCCTGGTCGCAACTGTGCGGTAGATGTCGTCAAGAATCCATGAGCCCTCGGGGTGGCGGATGAGACGTCTGACATGGCCGTAGAACTCTGGGATGATTAAATCGCGGGTCTCGTCGTCTCCGTGGACAATCAACTTTCCAACCAAGAACTTAGCATATCGACTTTGCGCCAGCTCCTTGTAAGTGCCCTTCAACTCGTGCGCGATCAGTTTGCGCTGCTCAAGGTTTCCGTACTTGAGAGCAGTCTGAATGACTCGCACCGAGTCGTGCTTGAACACGAAATCCCGAACGCGGGTAGTGATGATCTCAAACAGCTCTTTGACGAGCTTCTTTCTCTGCTCCAAAGGCACATGGGACTTGCGGCGCAACTGCTCCCACAGTTTCTTGGAGCGGGCGACGGTATCGGCATTAGGCTTTGCGGCCTTGCGCTCTAGCTGGAGTGCTTTTTGCTTGAGGTGGGATTCGCGAGAGTCTAAGCGCGCAATAACGATTAGATGTGGCACCGTCAACGAGGCATAAATGAAACTTACTGTTGGGGTTCTTTGGGGCCTCTTTCTGCGCTCTTTCCTCCGCATTGAGTGTTCTGCCTGACTTGGGCTTCTCCTCCTCCTCGCTCACATCGGGCATCTCAGCATCGTCTGAAAGGGCATCAATATCTTCGTCCGAGACATCGTCAATGTCGAAGTCATCCTCGTCTTCGGATTCTTCCATCTGAACCTTCTTTGATGGCTTCTTGTCGCTCTTGCTGGATTTGGAGTCCTTCTTGGAGTCTTTCTTGGATGAAGAGCTCGACTTCATGGACTTGGACTTCGATGCGGAGCCTTCCTTGGTCTTGCTCCGCTTGCCATTGCGCTCTTCGCTGCCGTCAACAGCACGCTTCAATCCAGCCATTATGAAAGATAATTTCCGTAGGCTGAAGGGTATCTCCGATTGAAAAAAGTAATAAAACTGGGGTCTTTGCGAGCGGAGACTGCTCTATGTCCTGGTGGATAATTTTTTTTGGTCGCAGGCGGAGGAAGTTTTTTTGCCGGCTGTTTGCACAGTTTGCACTGATAAGATACAAAATAGCCCTGCCTTTTCAGCAGGTTCATACATGTACTAGTATGTAGCAATATTGGTATTCAAATAACCATTTATATAGATTCTTACAGAAAATAAGATCGAATGGTACGTGGATATAAAAGGACGGATTGCTATGGACGTTTTATGATAATAAAATGTGGGACAATGTCTCTGAACGAAGCACAGATGGATGACCCGAGTCGCAACTCGACGGCAACAGATGTACAAAATGCTAATAAGTGACATGAGCCACTAGACTCTCCAGGGACAAGATGATGATCCCTACTGCCATCGACCAAATCCCGAATTATATTACTCTTGAACGAGTGTGGCTTGCATCACCCGAAACAAACCCGAAACGCCGTAGAGAGAATCACAACGCATTAAAGATATTTCATACTTCATATATCACCGGGGGGTGCAGGTTCGAAGGAGGTTGCTTTCACAGATGCCAGCTCTGATCCGCCGCCACTCTGGCCGCGCTTCCGGCCAGGAATGTGGAAGCCGAAGGACGAGGTAGAGGACTTGGACCCGGATGATTGCGCATCATTACTAGAGTCACCAAACCTGGAGAGGAAGCCCTTCTTCTTAGGTTTCTCGTCATTTAATCCTACTTCTTCGAAGGCTTCTTCCTCCATGATTCCAGACTTGGTAAGGCTGATGGACTGAGTACCCGATGGGGTTAATCGGGAGAATCGAGAGTCAAGAGAAGTTCGAGAGGGGCCAGCATCGGGATGGATGATGGGTGAGCGGGCGGAAATATCCTAGATTGAAGGGTTCATGTCAGTCGGGTTTATGCGGATCGGATCGGTCCGCGGGGCATACAAATGATCGGCGGTAAGAGTCAAAGGACTCGCGAGAGATGGAGAACGGCTCATTCTCGTCAACGAGATCTCGATGGTTGATGGGTTTGTTGGAGCCCGGGTATCGGCGCCAGAAACTCAGCCGCTCTGGGGGGAAGGCTATCGCGGTAATTAGCAGGTGTATCATACTTCCCGATCACACACAGCCTGTACCGGAAGATAGACGCCGCTGTCGTTGACCACTAGGGACCGAAGTTAGCATTGCAAGCAAGTACACAGCCACACATAGCCACAACGGGGATTCGAACATACCACTCAATTTGTACTCGGTGGGCTCATCCTGGCTATTGCGGATCGGTATGGGCGCAGGACGTTGATTTGGAGAGAGATAGTTCTCATCCACGGGAGCGGGTTCCTCATTGGGTTGGGACTTTCGTCCTAGAAAGTTACGAAATGGAGGCATGGTTGAAGAAGTCAAGTGTGGAGATTTCGGTGATTTCCCCTGTGAAGGGTCCCACGTTAGGGTGAAAGTGCCCCCCGATTCTGGAGCCTACGTCATCCAAGAAGTTTGTGAAATAATGAAGGCCATCAGCCAATCAGATTGGAATAAAATATAAGAAATATTACATAATCTTGTATCTGCCCTGACCCAGTCCCTGATTTATGTCCAACCTCGGCGCACATGCACAGGAACTGGTACTCTACATAAACAGACTACTTCTACTCAAGGAATGGATTAAATTTGCCTCATACATTCAAGCCTAACGAATAAAGCTTTAGAGCTACAAAGATCAGAAGAAGAAAAACATACCCTTCAACACCTGCAAACACCCATTGAGAAAGATTCCACATCCATGGATGCCTTCGATATGTTCCATCGCAGTTCGCTTCATGAAAATAGATCCACCTGCGAACAAACTCCATAAGCAAATCAAACCCAAGACCGGCCTCAATTTGCTAATCCAGGCTTGGACTGTTGCCATGCATTTCGCTATCACTTTCGTAACGGCGAGTCTCACCAGTAATTGGCCTATACTGACAACGCAAAGG